GGGGGGGGGGGGAGGGGGAGCGGGGGTCGCGTTCATTGCAGTGCGGACGTTGTGCGCTGCGGCGTTTTGGGGAGGTGGTGTTGGGGGGGACGAGTCGGGAGGTTCCGCGGTACGGAAAGAGCCGAACGCGCCTCGGGGGGAGAGGAGCGCGGGGGGGGGGGGGGGGCGTCGGTCCCGTGTGCCACCCCCCGGTGTTCGTCCCCACGTCCATACATACCTATGGCACATCCGCATCCCACACATAGGACGTACGGGAGACGGCACGTGATGCGGCCTCCCCTCCTCTCGTCATTGTTTTCTTTTGGGGGAAAATCGGCTCTTTTCGGGGCTGCCCCTTCCCGCAGGTGCCCGCAGGAGCCCCGCACGGAGTTGTGGCCGCGGGCGCTTGAAGCCTCTCGGAGCAGCCTCGGGGTCGTCGGGTGCCAGCGGAGAGAGGGCAGCAGCTGCGGCCCCGGGAGGCCGAGAGACACCAAATCCGGCCTTAGGGTTATGCATTATTCTTATTCTTTTCCATACGCGTTAATGTTTAGGAACACAAAACAGTGATAAACCATGCACCGGTTTCTCCATCCTTCCAAAATCCCTAATTTCCCTCCCGCAGCCCTGAGGTGTTCGCTCTGAGCTGAGAGCAGAGCACCGCGGGGTGGAGGGCCGCTCTCGGAGCCCGAACCCACAGACCAACCTCAGGCAGGCGGCTTTTCATCCCCCAAAATAGTACCGATGCCGCTCAGTGTGGAGCGAAGCAGCGCGGCAGCTGCAGGTTCGCCCTTTCATTTCCCATTATTTATCGCTATATATTTTTAAAAACATGATTACTATTGTTTTCTAAAGGAATGAAAAACGATAAGTTTCAACTCGAGGCCCTCTCCGTCTCTCCTTCCCCCGACATGGAAACACAAAATCAAAATTGAAAGAGGGCGAGTTGAGAGCCTGCGGGGTTTACATGTATTTGGGAAAGTTGCAGGCTTTACTATTTGGGGAAAGGTTTACGATTTGGGGGCGCCCCAGATCATGGGCTCCCAGGGCCGGGGAGCAGGGAGGGCGCTGCAGGCGGTGGGGGCGCTAAAACGGGGGGCGCTATAATGGGATGCAATGAGGGTGGAGACGCGAGGGGGGCGCTCTAATAGAGGCGGACTAAGGGGGCGCTATAATGGGCCTCTATAAGGGGCGCTATAATGGGGGCACTCTAAGGGGGCTCTATAATGTGTCTTTATAATGGGAGCACCCTGAAGGGGCTCTATAATCGAGGTACTATAATGGAGTTCTATAATGAGGGCACTGTAAAGGGGCTCTATAATGGGTGCACTCTAAGGGGGCTCTATAATAGGGGTGCTGTAAAGAAGATGCTCGAAGGAGGTTCTATGCTAGGGGCTCTACAGTGGCGCTTTATAGCGCGGGCATTCTAAGGGAGCTCTATAATGGATGGGGGGCTCCCACGGGCGTGCCCCCACCCCGTCGCACCGCCACCACCGCCCCGGCCCGGCCCCACGCGGTATTTATCGCGGCGCCCCGTCGGGTTTGGCCATTGGGCGAAGAGCGGGGTGTCAGCGGCGGCGGCGGCGAACCATTGGCCGCCCCCACGTGCGGGGCCGCCTCACGTGCTTCCGGTGCGAGCGAAAAAAAAGTGTGGCCGAGGGATTTTTTTAGGGAGAGTTTGTTGCAAAGATCGGAGCTGTCAGAGATTGGCTTTTTTTTTTTTTTTCATCCCCCCCAAAAATTTTTTTTGGGGGGGACAAAAAAAAAAAAAAAAATACAAAACCAAATAATAATAATAAGGGAGGGGGGGGTGGGTGGGAAGGAATTATTAAAAAAAGAATAAGAAAAGGAAAACAAGAGAAAAGGCGAAGGGAAAGCAGAGCCGCGCACGCCGCCGGGGAAGGGCTGCGGGGCCGGGGGCAGAGCGTGGCTGTAGCGCGGGGCCATGCGCGGCTGCTAAGGGGTTCCGCGGGGGGCGGGCGCGGGGGGGGCCGCGGTGCGGCTGCACGCGGGTTTGGGTTTTTTTTTCCCTTTTTTTTTCCCCTTTTTTTTTTTTTTTTGCTGTTGGAAATATATAAGGGGAGAGAAGCCCTCGAGTGTCTCCCGGTTTTGGATCCATCCGTGCGAGGGGGAGAGAGAGAAAAAAAAAAAAAAGCTCAGCTCCGCTCCGGCCCAACAAGTGGATTTGGTGCTTTTTTTTTTTTTTTTTTGGACGGGTTTTTTTTTTTTTTTTTTTTATTTTTTTTTTTTTTTTTTTTTTTTTTTTTTTTTTTTTTGAAAATTTTTAACCCGCCACCCACCGCCAAAGCGGGGTGGGCGTAAAGTGGCTGTGTGTGGGGGTTGGGGGGGGGGCAGAAGGAGAAAAAAGAGGAAAAAAAAAAAAAGCAGCAAGCGAACAGCGAGCAGCGAACGGCGAAGCGGCGATCTCCTCTCCGTCTCTCTCCGTGGCGGGGGCTGAGCATGGAAGAGCCGCCGGAGGGGCACGGCCACCACCGGGACGCGGCGCCGCCGGGGCCGGCGAACGGCGGAGGCGGCGGTGGAGGCGGCAGCGACGGCGACAGCGCTCCGGTGTCCCCCAGCCCCGCGCCCGCCTCCCCCGCCGCGCCCTGCCCCCTGCCCCTGCCCCGCCGCCGCCCCCCGCCGCCGCCGCCGCCCCGCACCACCAACTTCTTCATCGACAACATCCTCCGGCCGGACTTCGGCTGCAAGAAGGAGCTACCCGCCGCCACCGGTGCTGCGACGGGAGGAGGAGGAGGAGGCGGCCGGGAACAGCGGGACGGAGCGCAGAGCGCAGGTAGAGAGAACGTCAACCCGCTGCTGGCCCGGCCGCCCCACGCGCCTTCCTCCGCTCTTCTCTGCCCGGACTCGAACTGCGCTCCCGACGGCTCCGCGCCCGCCGGCACCCCCGCCAAAGCGAATCCCGGAACGGCCGCGGGAGCTGCGGGGTCTGCGGGGGCGGCCAAGGCACAGGGAGACGGCGGCGAGACTCCGGCGGCCAAGTACGGGGAGCACGGCAGCCCCGCCATCCTCCTCATGGGCTCTAATAATGGAGGAGCCGTGCTCAAGCCCGACTCGCAGCAGCCGCTGGTATGGCCCGCCTGGGTGTACTGTACGCGGTACTCCGACCGGCCGTCCTCGGGTAAGGATAGCGCGGATCCCCCCAGCTCTCCCTGTGCCCCTCTTCCCTCTGCCTCCCTCCTGTGGCTCTCAGCCCGGCGCGGGGAGGGTCCCGGTCCCCATCCTCCTCCGAGAGCCCCGTTCGGATCTGCTCGGCGCCGGGGCCGTGCGGAGAGCCGGGTGCCCCGGGAGTCCGTTCCTTTTCCCCAGGCAAAGAGCCGTTTTTCGTGCGGATCGCTCCAGCCCCGTGTAGTTGGGCCGCTGAGGGCTGTTTCATGGGGAGGAGAAGGAAGAAGGGCTGCAAACGGCGGCTGGAGGGGCCGAGCCAGGAGGGTCCCCCTGGAGCCGGGCCCGCAGCACTTCGTTTTGCCACCTTCAGTGGCAAATTAATTGCAATATTTTTTTAATTTTTATTTTTTATTTTTAAGATGAGGGCTAGGAGATGACCCCCAGTAACACCCCGGTTTCTCCCCCCTCCGCCCCCC